TCGCCCGTGCAAAGATTTTTATTGCAATTTTCTAATTTCATTGCGGATGTTCCGTCTACTGCCTGCCTTTTCCACATGCGTGTGTATGTACATACATATGTATGTATGTATGTTTAAAATTCCCATAGAGCGTTCGTTTCGACTGTCGCCGGCTTCAGTTTATGGCTGCAACAACCGACAAGAAGAATAACAAAAGCGACGGCAAATTGTTGCTGCGGTTGCACATGTGAGAGGGTTTGCCCTTTCAACGTCACGCATAAATTCGCATTTTCATTTGAATTTTAAACTCATTTCCAAGTCTCATCTAAGCAGAAAACGCTGACAGTTTTACAAAAAAAATAATATTTTAATACAGAACTCTTCAATATGAGCACACATTCATAGATACATATACATACATACATGTATATATGTAAGTATGCATATATGTATACTCAAGAAATTGATTTTGTTCTATGGGCATTTTCCTACAATGAGCGCATTTATATGCGCCGCAGTATGGGAAACAAAATAAACTCAAGGTGTTGCCTCGAGCGCTGCCCCTAAAAATAGTTGAACAGCAAAGTCTAAATCTTACTGCGGCTCTGTTATTCTGTTACGTCATCGCACGCGAGCACGAGGCCACGCAGTGAAAATTGTACAGTGCGCGAGCGCATGTTATATGCGTTCTCGTTTTGTTATTCTCTCATATATGGACTTTGACACAAACGCAACAAATGGTAGCGTGGCCGAGCGGTCTAAGGCGCTGGTTTAAGGCACCAGTCTCCTCGGAGGCGTGGGTTCGAATCCCACCGCTGCCAAGTGATTAAAATATTTTTATTTATTTAAAAAAAATTATTTACTCTATCTTTTGTCATATGACAACTGTTAGTTGAAAGCCCAAGCTAATTTCTTTAAATAAAATAATAATAATGTATCACACCAACAACAACATGTAGAGGGCAGCTAGCGATGACGACGCACCTAGCAACCACCATGTGCGTTTGTTTCTTTTTACTGTTCGCTCACTAATAATTCTCAACGGGTTCTTGAGAGCGCAGCGTGTAGAGCACTTCTGTGGGCAGTGAGAAATTAAGACTATACTTCACAGGATCATTTCTGTAGTTAGTTTTCACTTACTTTCACACAAAGTGGAAGCACACCTTGACCACGTTGATGAGAGAAATCGTTTTATTCAGCAGCGTGAGGATTTGCGCTATGCCCTTTACGTTGTGACTTGTTGCACGTATGATGGGTGTAGCGCTTCGATGATCGCTCGGTTTAACGGAATAAAACGAATTCTGAGTGGTTCTCAAACTTTTTAACGAATAAATGTTGTGGATTGAAACGTGTGCCTAATAGTTGTTGTATTGCACAGTAATTAAAAACGTTTTGAAGCACTTTCCGTTATTGTTGCTGAGCTGAAGACTGACTGTGCGCGTAAGGGAAGAGAGTGGGCCGGGGGACACGTTTAGTTGAGTGCGGATTTTACATTCTAGTTGAAGTGGGCGCTTCGTGCTTAAGGTGTTTCCATAATAAAGACAGAGGGGGTTGACGGTGGTATTTCCAACAATTTTGTAGCACTAGCGCTCTTAACAAAAGCAGCATTTGTGCATACTTTTTTGCTGCTAATTGGAAAGCAGCGCACTTTTCTAATTACTTAGAGCTGGATAACAGTAGCCTTTGTTTAAGTGTAGTCGAACGTGTTTTTTGCTTAATTTAGAGCATTGAAAATATCTAAAAATTATTGGGAGAGAGACATAAAGTTGCTTGAAATAAGATTAATCTCTTTATAAAAACTAAATTATTTTAATGACGGTAAGTTATAATTAAAATATAAACTGACTTAAGTATATAGATATGTTTATTTGTGGTCTGCCTATTATTGCGATATAACGTGTAAAGAGGAAGAGAGAGAGAGTGAAACGTCGATAATATCGCTAATAATTCCCGCATTTTGCACGCAACAACAATTAAGAGTTGCCTAGTCATGGCTATGGCTTACTGCCTGCATATGGGACATACTTGAAAGGACACGTAGACGTAATGTATTGCTGCAATGAAAAGCAAATAAGCGTACGAGTAGGGGGAGGTGGAGTGTTTCGAATACTCACATAAAAATACATTTGAAATGTGGCAAGAGTAAACCGCAGCATTGTCAGCAAACATTCATTGAAACATCATCATTATCAACATTATCATCGGCAAACGGCTCGGTTCATGTAACTGTGTAGCAGTGGTTGGGTAGGGCAGGGCAGGGCAGGGGAATCGATGCTGTAATTGATGTCTTTGCGACATGTTCCCAAAGTGTTTACGTTGAGAATTACCCAAGTGCCGCAGTGTATAAGCAACCGTGTGCATGTGTATGGGTATGTGTATCTGTGTGCGGGTGTGGGAGGACGTGTCACGCCCTTTTGCTAGTTGACAGCCTGCCGTTTACGTGCACTTAATGAAATGTGCCCCAAAATGGAAGCACGTTTCGGGCATCTATTTAATGAGCCTGCAAGCGAAGGCAAAATGCTTTTCCTTCCTCTGCCCACTCCACTCCACTCCACTCCAGCCAACTTGCTCTCGCAAGATGTTGATGTGAGTGGTGAATTTTTTTTTAAATGTCGCAGGGTAAATTCAATTTTCATTCGGACGAAGCGGGCAACAGCCGCAGAAATAGCAAGTGCAGCTGCAGTCGCTGCATTATTCAATGGCACTCAAAGCAAACGCTCACCTAAGCCTGGCGATTTCTATACCCAATACTCTCGCCACACGCGCTCTACACACTCCCAGCCCGAAGAATTGGCTCATACCGCTCTCGCCGGCTCAAACCGCATTTTAAAATTCATGTGTTCTCGCAACAATGCTCCATAGAAAACAAAATGCGATTAAATGTGTGGAAAATGCCGCAGGATAAACCACAATGGGTTAAGGCACCGTCTTGTTTGCACATGTGTCCCACAGCTGTTTCTGCCCCCTCTCGGCCACACACCCCAATCCCCAATGCCAAAAGCCATGCAAAGCCAGCCACAGACACACGTCGAAGGTGCAAAAATGCGTTAAACATAACATGCTAATTCCGGTTGCCTGCAGCTTCAATCTTTCAGCATCAGCTTCAGCCGGAGGAACACCCCCAGCTCCACCCCCACCCCCACTCCCTTGGGACCGCACACTTGGCGTATACGTAATATGAGCGTACTGTGTGCCATTTGATGCTGAGCATTTGCTTTGCAGCCAGTTGGCTTTGTGTTTGCGCCGTGGCAAAGTTTTGCGGTCACGGGCTACACTTTGCCCGAATGGGCGTGGCATCACCAAGCTGGTCAGTAGAAAACGAAACGCATCAAGGCGTTGCAGCTGCAAATGTTTGCCTCAAATTAGCTTGAAATTCAAGCTTAAAGTTTCGAACGTTACGTCTAATAGAGAGAACTAACTTTTCACAATTAACGCAAATACCTAGTGTAAATTTGGTGTGAATAACAGTTTAGGGTAAGCATTTACCATAAATAATATGTCGAATGAACATTCAAAATATACAAAGAAGAAAACATGAAAATATAGCAGATAATAGAAATAGATAAATATAGTGAACGTTGAACCTTAAAAATATGTAAGAACTTAAAATATTTATAATTTAATTAATTTTAATTTCATATAAAAAAACTTGAAAAATATTTTATTAAAAAAATAAAAATAAAATTTATGCTACTAATAATTACAAAATTATAAAATATGAATAATAAATAAAACTATATTTTATTAGTTATATACAAATTATAATTTTAAATTTAGAAATGTTATTAATTCAAAATGTAATAATAATAATTAATAAATAAATATAATATTTAATTTTATTTTTAAATTAATTTTTTATATAAATTAAATTATTTTTATATTTAAATAGTTTATTGAAAATGTTGCACTGTAAATAATTTTCAAATCGTTAAGATCCCAGCGCCATTCGAAGCTTTTACTCTCTGTGTCTCTCTTTCTCTCTCACTCTCTCGTTGTCTGCCTCGCGCAAGCTTTTTGTATGCTCACTCACGTGGAGCTTTGGGCATGGCATTTGGAATTCAGTGCGTTCAGTTATCGACAATATGGAGAGCGGTAGACAAGGTCCGAAGAGCTTTATTCACAGGCCAGCTGCTCGCATCGCTGCGGTGGTGTTGGTGGTGCACGCGGTCTGCTGGATCGGCTGGAGCGCCATCAATCCAAGTACAAGTAACACTAGCCAGGCGGCGATCGCTAATGCCCCGTATGAACGGATACGAGCCGCAGTCGAGAGCAAAGGCCAATAGCCCCCACCCACTCAAAGTGTTCATAACATATCCAATTACGCAGCTCAAAAGTCTCCTCATTATATAAACACTGTTCTTCTTCTTTCGGCTGTGACTGCATTTGAATGTGTAACTGAGAAATATTCTACTAAATGTTAGTATATAATAAGTAAAAGTTAATTTAGCTAGCATTTAGCTTAGTTTATCCGAGCATTTGCCTAAGTCTGTGAAAATTAGCAAAAAAGAAAAAAGCTTGCAGAATATGTACAAACAAGTCTCTTGCACATTGGTTAGCTCTCCATTAAAACTATAAAAAAAAATAAATACATTTTTTTTTGAATTGAAATTAGAGAAAAAATTAATATAAATTAAATTATTGAACTAAAAGGCATTTTTTTATATGCTTGTTAAGAAAAGAGTATTATCTAACGTAAGAAAATATTATTCAATTGCAAATACATTTCTGTTTATTTTGTTAATTTAAATATAAACAAAAAGTTTGAGCATTTGAAAATAACAAAAACATAAATAAATAAATATTCAATATAATTAATATGCATTACATAAATCTTATTTCATTTACATTTTAACATCTTAATTAATTTTTTTTTTTATTTTATTTTTTGTTTGTTTTATAGTTAATGGGAAATTGATTTTTAAAGTTCAAAAAAAGGTTATTTTATTATATATTTCAAAACAAATAATATTTGCTTTTGGTTTCATTCAATTTTGTTTCAGTGCGAGAAGACAGTCGGGTTCCAGTGTGTCAATGGAAAGTTTCGTACAGAAGCTTGCCAAGCAGTCCCACTCAAAAGCTCATGAAGTTTACTAGACTGTTGCTAAAGCTCTACTGCCCATTCGCTTGTACACAAATGCCATTGTTCAAGTTTTGGTGGTAAAGCTTAGTCTATGGCTCGATCACACAGTTTGGAGACTGCAAACAGGCTGATCATCGTTTAGTTTCTCCATTAACTCTGAGCTGGTGTGAAGGCCGAGAAGTAAGCCTCGATAACAAATACACTAAATATGCTAGCCGATCGTTCGCTTCTCGTTCTCTGCCTTGGACTGTTCCTCTGCTGCGAGAGTCTCCCCACAAAGTCCTTGTCCAACATGAGGCTGTCTACGGCGACGCCGACATCGACGTTGCAGAACAGTGATACGACGTCGTTTCCCGTTCTTCAGAGCATATTCACTCTGCCGGAGATTTGTAAACAGGGCTTTAAGCTGACCGGGGACCCACAGCGCTGCCGAAAAATCGCCTAAAAGGGCAACCAGGCGATCAAGTTTTTGATCTGATAACCGCAAAAGTGATGTAAACAAAAATCGAATAAAGTGACGCAAACTGCAAACTGAATTCATTAATCAGCAAATCTACAGCCCCCGCTGAGTCGCTGCGCCAGCCGTGAAAAGTTCCCAATTGCAAAAATAACACATGCATATAATTGGCTCAGGCAGCCATAATAGAGTAGTAGAAAAAGTTTCATGGTAGAAGAATAGAACTGTTGAATGGAGTGAATTGCTGAACAGCTTTTATACTAGACCTAGGAGACTGTAACTGATTTAATTTGTAATGGTATTAAAATAAATAATAAACATCTATTTCGAATGCAGTCAGGCACACTCAAGAATATCAGTTATACAAGCTCAACCTAATATTAAATATTCGACATAGTTGAAGAAGACGAAATCTCCAGCCCTGAAAAGTTTCCAATTGCAAAAATAACACAAATATTTCGGTAATTGTTTATTGATAAAGCTTATGACTAGCATTTGGTGAATACGTTCTGGAAGGGCTTTGCAAGTATTACGAACAAGATAGTCGCACTTCACTTATGGCGTTGCACTTGAACTCTCCTTGGGTGCGGGTACTCGGAGTGCTCAGGCCGGCAGTCGGCAGCGCCCGAGGTATATTCTGAAACGCGGCGGGCACTTGCTCACGTCGGCAGACCTTACGGGACTCGCTGCGGTCATTGCACTCAGATATATCAGCAGCAGTGTGAGCAGCTGACATAGATATACACCAGATATTAGCTTCATAATGGGCAAATATCGACAACAACAGGCCAGCGCGACTTGACTCTAACTAAATGCTTGAGCGTAGTGCGTAACCCCTTTTATATAGACATCAGCCAAGCGATTGCCCTGTTCTCGTATTACTCAAACCACTTTCTGTCGCCATCATACCGCTGGGACTAACAACTTTACTATCTATAAATTACGCAGCACGCGCTCAAGTATTCCCCGACACGGGATCATCAGCGAGTGGCGGTTATTAAAACTGTCTCTTGCAGTTTGTTATTTTAGTCGAGACTGCTTGACTGGGCGATGCTCTACCTCTTGCGTAGAGTGGACATTTCCATTTCTGGAATCCTACTGAAGTTAATTTCTTTAATAGTTATTCTCGTCATCTTCATAAAACTTTGAATTTCAACAAAGTCGTGAAATTCGAATTTACTATTTTTTAAATGGGTTTAGGGTATAATAAGAGGTATGTTTCGCAAATAGTTGTCAGCACTTCAGAATAATATTAGCCGTACATCCACCTGCTGACTTTAAGAGTACTCAGTGTACTCTCAGCTGTATCGACCTGCTAGCTTTAAGAGTATTCACTCTTCTACGCTGTGCTACTAGCTTATTATAATCTATTGATTGTGGAATCGCCGACTGTGATGTCATAGTCATAGTCACAGTATACAGTGCACTCTGTGTTCCCGCTAAAAGGTTAATTGAATGACGCATTTGATAGAGAGAAAAGCTCCGGTTGAGTTCGGTTTAGGGGTGTACGTGTATTTATGAAAATTTATCTCTCAGCATTAATACATTGTTTATTTTAGTTTTTATATTAATGTTATTCCAGCGAATCAATTTCGTTCGTTTCAGGCGTCTGTAGCAGTGTCATGCTCAACGAAATCTCGGGTGCAATTGCAAAATATATATGTTTATATTAATGAATCACTATCAACAATGAAACATTAGACTGTTTTTCTATTTTTTGTTTGTTTTATTAGAGAGCATTACTTACACTGCCTGGAATTGAAATTGGAAATTATCGTTGAGTAGTTGACCAAGTACATTAAAAATGTTAATTAAATTAAAATTTCTAATATCAAACAAAAACTGTCTTTTCAAAGGTTTTTTTTCTTTTTTTATAGGTAACATTAAATCAAAAATACTTTCGGACTTCAGTCAAGGGTATTCGTTCAGTCAGAAAATTTTGAATGTAGATTTATATGTAGTGAGTTTATGAGCATATGAGTTTCGATTTTTGTTAAAATTTATCACCCGCCCCTATATCCCTCAGCATCAGTCGACTTTAACACTATAAATCAGAGATATAGCTTCAATAGCGCCGCAATAAACTTTCATACGGACAGACGGACGGAGAAGATGGACATTACACAAAACCAATATACTCATTTCCTGAGTGAGTATAAGAACACATTTTAACTACGGACTATTAAACAAAATTATTAACAATATTTCACTAGATACGTGAAATACTACTACTTAAATACATTGTAGTATGCATATATGTATTTACTTATTCAACTTTATTATACACACTTAATATTTAATAGTTTCTCTTATTTAAAGTCTTAGCTCATGCTTACGCCACAAAGCGACATTGACCCGGCTGCCGAAATAAACTGGAAGACGGACATTGCATCGGTTTTACAAAATTTTACTTTAAACTTTGTATAGCCAAATTTGCAGTTCATGCGAAAACAGCTGTGATAAGATCACACAAATTTGGG